TGGACCAGTCTGACTCTGTTACAGGAAATGTTGGTTGAATATATTTATCAGAGTTGCCGAATGCAGACTGAAACCCCTCTAATCTGGCTACTGCTGTGTGTATGCTTGAGGATTTCCATTAAAATTAGTACAGAACTGTTGAAATTAAAATGGTGCATTGAGCATTCTGGTAAAGCATGTTTTATAATACCAGCACATCCACCAGTCTGATTATTGACTAATATGAGACTTGTAAACAAAAGATAAATGTTTGATTGAAACCTCTGAAGGAGTTGGGAAGCCATAGAAATAAAAGATTTTCAGAGAGAGAAAATGGAGAGAAGTTTCAAATTGAGAAAAGCAATAAAGATGGAATCTATTTTTCTTTTGCTGCAAACAAGCACATCCTCATGATTATGGTTTGTTTGACTGTTTTAATTTTTACCTTTGGTTCAGTTCCCACGCCACAAGTAACATTAGTGGTCTCCAAATTGTTTCACTATCGTGGTTTAGATAGATAGTTCAATGTGCTGCGTACTTTGTGGGTTTTGATGTTATCTGAGAAATTGATATGTATTTTGATGATATTCTATACTTGTGAATTCCCAATGGCATTTGAATGTTAGGTGCGAGTAAAAGCTGCACTTGACAAGCAGTCAAAAACTCGATTGATTGGACCTAATTGCCCTGGCATCATCAAGCCTGGAGAATGCAAAATTGGAATAATGCCTGGATATATCCACAAGCCAGGACGAGTTGGGATTGTTTCTCGATCTGGTACCTTGACTTATGAAGCGGTATGGTAGTTTCTTATTCTAAATGTAAAACATCAAGGACATCTTGTTTGGTAAATACGATTTTATCTTCTAATTGCAGGTCTTTCAAACAACTGCTGTTGGTCTAGGACAGTCCACTTGTGTAGGAATTGGTGGAGACCCCTTCAATGGAACAAATTTTGTTGATTGCCTAAGAAAATTCCTTGAAGATCCTCAGACTGAAGGTAACCCGAGGGCCTGGCAGAAACTTGTAGTGGCTTCTTGATTATATACTTATCGGATTCATGAATTCTGAGTTGTACGCTACATTATCCTGTTAAGGTAGTCTTGTTGTAATTTTTTTTTGTATTAAACTGTTGCTTCTTTTACCAAATCCTGGGCACAAGGGAGCTGCATTTTCTAACATACAATTGTTGTTATTGATCTAAACACCATGTGAAAAATTTATCTACTTCTATTTCGTTTAGAGGAGACCACTTGGATTCCGTATATGTGCCCATGGTATTAATTGGACAGTTATTATCTGAACCAAATATTTCAAACAAAAATAACCTCGACTTCTGAGCAAAACAAACATGTTTTATTATGTCAAAAATTAAGCGTCTGGTGAATGTTACTGAAGCAATGGTTACCTGTTGGTTGTTTGTGTTTGTTACTTGTGTGTGACTAGCTAAAGTGCATGTGCACATGTACATATGCCTACTGAAAGATTTGAAGTAATTATGACTCTGTCAAGGTTATTTATATAATTTTATAGAAATTTTATTTACACACTGTAAAATATTGATACATGAACATGTATTTACATTATATTCTGCTTGATGATTTTGCAACTGTTTGGATTTTTCCTTTTAGCAGTTGTGTGTAAATAGTTCTTCTACTAGAACCAACGCCCCTCTTGTGTGGTTGGAACTTTAATATGTGCCTTGCAAGCATGTGATATCGTAGTCTTCTACTAATGCTGCCTGTATGACTTGCATTTTAGGTATTGTTCTTATAGGAGAGATTGGAGGAACTGCAGAAGAGGATGCTGCTGCACTAATACAGGCATGTAAAAGTAGCGATTGCATTTATACACAAACCATGACATTAATGTATCATGAGTGATCCTGTATGTGTTGACATTGGCATAGTCGAGTATTATGAATTCTGTATGTCTGGAAACCTAATGCTAGTTCATGCTCAAGTGCATCCTTAGATTAGTGGTGATATGTGTATTTCAACAAATTGTTCTAGCGGTTAGAGTTATTACCATTATTCTTGTATCATGTGTATTTTTTTGCGTCTTTTTAGAAACCATATTTATTGTTATTTGTTGTAATCGAGAAACATTTCATTGTCAATATATAAGCTGCACAGACGTTCAAATGATTCTTGTGATTAATAAGGACCATGCTTCATAAGCATGTCGAATGGAATACTGCCTCTTTGTTAATTTACATGTTTTTCTTGTTTTGCATGCCCACATGATCGTTATGTAGTTATTCCTTGTATGTTGCTTTGCTTGTTACTCTAGGGGTATTTTATTCATAGATTAATGTCAGATATTTTCATATATCAAGATGCATATGCATGCCAACAGACTTGTTATATAACGTCCAACACATTCCTTGTCCTGAAAATTCTTGAATATAGCAGTGACAGTTAACCTGATTAAATTCACTGTTAAATTGGTCCAACCTACGCGAAGCCCAATGCATCAATTTATTTTGTCATCATGCATGGTCTGAATTAGCAAATTATACGAATATTAGGTTGCATTTTAATTTTATATTGTAAGTTCTGGTAGTGAGAGCAATTCATGATAATGTTGTTTATTGGTTATATGCACTAAATAGTTACTTTCCAAGCTTGTGATCTCTTGGTATGTCTTGTATCTTCTGAGTTATTGGTTGTAGTCTCAATTCATATTTGTATTGCCAGTATGTCTGTTCTGCAGTTGTAATCAGCATATGTAATGATCATATGAAAATTAAGGTAACAAGCAACCAATAACAAGTTGTTGTGAATTCCAAGATGCTCATATTTACTTTATAGTTTGTGATATGATTGATGTAAACAAAAAAGTAAGAAAAACAATATGATTGATGTATGTTTTATATTGTTTTCCTTCTGAAATAACAGGAAAGTAAAACTGAGAAGCCAGTTGTTGCATTTATAGCTGGACTTACAGCACCACCAGGTCGCCGTATGGGTCATGCTGGAGGTGTGTACATCATCTCCTATGTAACTTTAAGCTATTTTCCTGCTACAAATGTGTTATTTGCAAGTGACAGAGAACATAATTTCTGACATTAACACAAGGCTAGTTATGATTTGGACCATAAGTCATGACGTATTTTTTCTTGGTCTTATTGCTTTCACTTACTAACATCTGTTTTTCTTTTTTTGTTTATTAAGCAAGCAGTTTTATTCTACACTGGAGTGGCTTCCATAACCGACTGTATATATACACATGTAGCTCTTCTAGCACACACATACCGTGCCGTAAATATAATAGTCTTCAAAAGTTCCCTGTTACTATGTGTATCTTACGCACACATCAAAGAAACTTTGTCCTTTTAAAATTTTATATTTCTAATCACCAACCTTTTGAAGATCAATGCCTTCTGAAAATACTGTGTTTGAAGATGACAAATAGTAGCAGCTAACATGGATTTCCTCATATCGTCCACCGATAGATCAGACCAACTGGGACACTACGGCTTTGTTGTTGTGCACCAATAGCTTAGACCCCATAATTGACAAGGGAGCAGTGCAGTTCCTGTTCTAAATATGTTTCTCCGTCTGCTGAACACACACACTCATGGGACTTATGCTGAAGCAAGATTTCTTCTTTTGTAAACCTATACTGTGTTAACAGCTACACTTTTCTGACAATTAAGTATCGGCTCTTCAAGCTCTCACTGAATTAAGTGCACAACAAAATTACTTTCTATTAGTTACCATTAATTGATATAAGTCATGCATTTCTTGATAGCTTTCTCTTATGGCTGGTGCAGCAATTGTGTCTGGTGGGAAGGGTACAGCACAAGATAAAATCAAAACCCTCCGAGAGGCAGGTGTAACGGTGGTAGAGTCCCCAGCCAAGATCGGTGTAGCTATGCTCGATGTTTTTAAGCAACGGCGTCTTGTAGATTAAGTCACACTAACTAAGCTGCGCATCATTGCTGCTTTAAGTATTCTTAATTTAAATGTCTGGATGTGCGGTCAACAGAGCCATCATCTCAAATTTTTTTCCCCACACAGTTGTTAATTTTGGTCATTTGATCGATTGCTTTTTTTTCTTATTTTTTTTTGCCCCAAGGTCTGTTCAATAATGACAAAACTGTACACACACCTTATGTTTTGCTTCCGAATTGAATTTCCAGTATTAATGCTGGGTTCTGTTTTCTGGTCTACAAAGATGGTATGCTTCCATGATTGTTCTTAGGGTTAAAGTCTATATTAATCATTGTGGTTTTAGTCATGGATTATTTAATTTTTTATGATTTTTTATATCTAAAATAATTTTTATAGTTTTAAAAACGTAACATGTAAGTTTTTCTTTTGAGTTAACAGACATTAGAATATGTGATATGTTAATTTATAATAAATTATTAATATAATGATATGTATAATTTAAGTTAAAAAAAATAAGGTTCATTTTAATTCTTGTGATTTTGGTTTTGGTCATAGATCACGTAAATTTTTATGATTTATTTATATTTAATATATATATATATATATATCTAAGATTATATGTTACGTTTTAAAAAATGTAAGGGTTATTTTAGATACGAGTGAATCGTAAAGACTTAAGTGATCCATGATAAAAATGAGGTTAAAATAAATTTTAATATATTTTTAATTTTAAATTATATATTATTATATTAATGATTTAATATATGATTTTAATGTCTATTAATTCAAATTTGATGAAAAGAATTTATATATTATATTTTTTAAAATATAAAAATTATTTTAGATATGAGTAAACTATAAAAATTTAAGAGCGATCTATAATTAAAATAAGAAGAGTTAAAATAAGTCTAATTTCTCCGTTAACCTTTATTTATGTCTTCCCAATAAATCATATTTATTAACTCAGCATAGGACTTCCCAATAAATCATATTTATTAAGCAAAAAAAAGAGGGAAACGGAAGAAAGATATGTGATCTTATTACATACAATTTAAAGGACATTATATGTAGATAGCAATGATTCAAGGGCTTATGTGTAAACGTTCACCAAATTATTACCTCCCGTCCATCCTTTCCTTCCTTCCCCCGTCGTCTCCGATCTCTTCCTAGGGTTTCCAGGGGGCTCATGGCAAGTACCTTTCGATCTCTTCTGATTCCTCTTCTCTTCGCCCTTAACATGCGATCGATTCTTTTTTCTCTTCTGGTTTGCTCCGTGGCTGATTTGATTCTTTTTTTTTTCCCAAAGGAAATTATTTGATCTTGCTGTGGTACCAGAAGTGGTGTAATCTTGGATATCTAGGTCGATCTGTTGCTTTCTTGAGCATCTTGAACGTTTGTTTCTTGAATTATGCGAACTTCATGGGCAGATGCAGTTGCGACGGCCGACAGCTCGGCGGCCGCGACTAGCGCTTCCCCCAGCAACGTTGCCGCCGTCTCCGTCGCGCCCTCTCGCGGTGGTGGCCGTGCTGCCTACGTCCCTCCCCATCTCCGCAACCGTCAGTCGTCTTCTGAGTCCCCCGCGCCGTCTCCTGCCGCGGGTCCTTCGGGTGCTGGACAGCCGCCTGCCTTCGCTGCCCCCTCTCCTGCTGGTGGAAGCCGCTGGGGCGGTGGCCCCATCCGTGACGTCGGTCGTCCTGGTTCCGCCGGAGGTAGAGGTGGAGGCGGTGGCCGACACTCAAGAATTGGTGGGTGGGACCGGAGGGAGCGCGAGGCTAACCCTTTTTCTAACGATGATGATACGACTGAAGCCGATTTTGATAGTCAGGAGACTTCCGGGATCAATTTTGATGCCTACGAGGACATCCCTGTCGAGACCAGCGGTGAGAATGTGCCCCCGCCTGTAAACACATTCGCCGAGATTGATTTGGGTGATGCACTGAATGAGAATATTAGACGGTGCAAGTATGTGAAGCCAACCCCTGTCCAGCGTCATGCAATCCCAATTTCCCTTGGAGGGAGGGATCTCATGGCCTGTGCTCAGACTGGGTCTGGAAAGACTGCGGCTTTCTGCTTCCCGATAATAAGTGGGATCATGAGAGGGCCATCTGGACCAAGGCAAAGGGGATCAAGAACCGTCTATCCTCTCGCACTGATTTTGTCGCCTACCCGCGAGCTCTCTATCCAAGTATGCTTCAGCCTTAAATTTTCTTTAATCCTTTTTATGTGGACACCCTGTCTTTTTCGGTGGTTCCATGATGATTAATATTTTTCTTATGTATATATGTACTTTTTATTTTATTGGTGTCTGTTTTTGGTACCTTAGATACATGAGGAGGCTAGGAAATTTGCTTATCAGACTGGTGTCAGGGTGGTTGTTGCCTATGGTGGAGCTCCAATCAATCAGCAGGTACTTATTTCATCTTTTGTGTTAAAGATTTGCGTATGCTGTTCTACTGTCTGATTGTTATCACTCCAAGGCTTACTAATCATAGATAACAAGTGTTCACACTGTTGTTTCTTTCTGAAATTTATGTGTGTTCATTTATTCCTCGAATAAAAAGATTAAGATTTGATATATTCGATGAAGTTTGAATCACACTGATTCCTTTAGGGTAACTTACCAATTTAAAAAATCTTTGCACAAGGATCACCTAATCATGATCTACTGGAAAGTGTATGGTAGCCATAATTAGTCAAATGAAATCATCTGATCGAGGTAGAACTTATTTGTCTTCACAAAAATGGGTCCCTTTTTTATTGGTTGATATTTTAGTTGGTCAGACAAGGTCCTTATTAGGTCCTAAAGGTCCCATATTGACATACTATGGGACAACAAAAATACGCAAGTGTTGAGTACTTGCGTACTATAGGAAGTAGACAACTGGAAGATGAGGGAAAGGGAAGTGGGATCAAACATACTGAGAGAAAGAAAGGAAAGGGTAGAAAAGGACAACACACAGTGAGGAGAAGAATAAGATGACTGATTTTTTAACACATACGTGAAAATGTGGCTTTAAGTGCTTTTCTTCCCTGTACATGATCACAAATTAATGTTCGTGATGATATTTGGTGCTAATTCTCAAATAGAGCTTCCTATTCAATTATTTTATATCAGACTTGCCTTTTCTCATTAAACATAAATATTGTTGGGTAACAAGGGACATTAGGTATCATTTCTTTTTTCCTGTCATCATTCATCCGGGTTGTGCCTCTTTCACTGATCATACGTATTTGCAGTTGCGGGACTTGGAAAGGGGTGTTGAGATTCTTGTGGCAACTCCTGGCCGTCTGGTAGATTTGCTTGAGCGAGCTCGAGTGTCATTGCAACATATTAGATATTTGGCATTAGATGAGGCCGATAGAATGCTTGATATGGGCTTTGAGCCACAAATTAGGAGAATTGTTGAACAAATGGACATGCCTCCACGAGGTCAAAGGCAGACTATGCTGTTCAGTGCCACATTTCCAAAGGAGATACAGGTTGGCTTTCCTCTTTGTTAAACAATGATTTGTCCAGGCACCAAGTCATGGTGATCTTTTATGTTTATTGTGAATGTGTTCTTGTTATACATGGCGATCATCTGTAGTTTGGGTTGGTGCTAAACTTTGTTACACATTAAGAATTTAGTTTTTGATTCAGATGCTCAACGTGACAGAAATTTGCACTGCAGAGTATTTCCATAGTCTTCAGGACACATTTGCATGATATTCTTTTTCAAATATTTTTTACTGAAATTGTATATCTCACAAAATTTATGTGATAATGTAAACTCAATTTCATGAGAAAAATATTAATTATGTCATTACATTAGGAGTAAAGTTCTGTATATGCATTGTATCTGTAGTTTTATTATATTTTAAATACTTTCATGATATGGAAGCATTGCTGGTGGTTTTCATTGCTGGATAGATAATTTGTTTTAGGTAAAAAGGACAGAGCAGTTAGGAATAATCGCTTTTTAATGGTTTGGTAACTAACTTTATGGACAATGTGGAGGGAGCAATGAAAAGTTACTGGGTTATAAAAGAGTTAGCACATTTGTTATTAAAAATATCTTTGACCTAGAATTGCTTGATAGGAGGTGATAATTCAGAGTAGAATGAAATTATTTATACAGTTTTTGATGGAAGAGATTGTAAGATAGAGTAAATTCAATATTAGCTGCAATTTGGAACTCCCATGTTGATGTCACATGATTGGAGAGTTTAGCACAAATTACGATTACTTAATGGAACTTGTTCTGTATAAATGTGTTTGTCGGTCATTGGTTTATTTCCTGGATCTTCAGCCTTGCCATGTGTTTCTTGTTGGCCTATATTGTTTCTCCTTTCTTGTCTTTAGCAATTATTGAGCTCTAAAATATATTTTCACTGTAAGGTTAGTAAGGTTTCTTGTTGACCTATACCATCATGCTGTTCCCATTTTCTTTAAGCAATTATTTGAATATGCTTACAGTGACAAATCTAATTTACACAGAGATTGGCTTCTGATTTTCTTAATAATTACATCTTTCTCGCTGTTGGAAGAGTTGGTTCTAGTACTGATTTGATTGTCCAGAGAGTGGAGTTTGTACCTGAGTCAGACAAAAGAAGCTACCTTATGGACCTTCTTCATGGCCAAAGAGATACTGGCGTCCATGGAAAGGTAAGGCAAAGCCTGTTTCAAAGGTATTTTTTGGCTCTACCAACTTCTGTCAACTTATGTTTAAGTGTTTATTTTGTGTATAAGGTATAAGGTCCTTGGGTCGTCTTTGTTTCTGTAAATATATTCCTTGGTGATGTTTTATGGTTCCATAAATCTGTTTTGTATAATGATTGAATTTTCACTTTAATCGCCACAGCAAGCACTCACTTTGGTCTTTGTGGAGACAAAAAGAGGAGCTGATTCATTGGAACACTGGCTGTGTATGAATGGGTTTCCTGCAACTACTATTCATGGGGATAGGACTCAGCAGGTAGGTAAATCTATTATTACTTGAAAGATCAAGTTAATTTGTCTTGTTAGCTCAGTTTTTTTTTAAATTTTTTTTTGGATGTCTCATTTGTCCTGCCTTTGATCCAGTGTCTTTACTGTCTTTATTGCCTGTCTTTATATATATATATATATATATATATATATATATATATATATATATATATATACATACATATATAGTTTGATTATGAGAGTTGTTGCATGTTGATACAGCATATGGTATATACTAGGTGGTCTACCGAGTGAGCAAATATATGCGGCTGCATAAGCTGCTAACTAAAGACTATAGTGTCTCGTCTACTTTCAACCTCCAAAGATGTCAAAATCTGATCCTTGTGATTGACCTTTATGAAGTTTCTTTACTAAGTTTCGTTTCATAAAAGGAAGCCAAATTTTGAGCTTTTATCATTTCTTTACTGATTGGTTCTCGTGTTTAACAAATTGGGGAATTAAACTTTTGTATGAATCTCAACAAATTGAATGTCCTCGTGTTTGAAATTAATCATGAAAATAACTGAAGAGGACATCCAAGTTGATCATGATCTGATAACATATCAGTTACCTTTTGTGTGTTGGCGTAACTCTAGTTTTCTGACTCATGATATTGATGTGGCTAATTATGCTGAGGGGTTGATGGATGATATGACATGCAATTTTAAAATACAGATTATTGTCCATGAGATGTCAAACTTAAAATATGTAAAAAAGTATGCATGCACTATCGATGGGCGTGAACCTTCTTACAGGCGAACTGACTGATATTGTGCTCCATGTTGGGATTTACAACAGTTGTTCCAGAAGTATAAACTGCTGCTCACTTTTAGGAAGTGTTTTATTGACAAATTGTATGTGCACTTTTAGGAAAGAGAGCATGCTCTGAGATCTTTTAAGAGCGGCGCAACTCCGATTCTAGTTGCAACTGACGTAGCAGCCCGTGGGCTGGACATACCCCATGTGGCACATGTTATAAATTTTGATCTCCCCAATGATATCGACGACTATGTACACCGTATTGGAAGGACTGGCAGAGCTGGAAAGACAGGTAGAGCCACTGCTTTCTTCAACGAGAGCAATTCATCTTTGGCAAGGGCATTGACAGAACTTATGCAAGAATCAAACCAGGAGGTGCCAGATTGGCTTGCTCGCTTTTCCACAGCTCATTCTTATGGTGGCAGTGGCAGACACCGGAGAACCGGTGGAGCCCGCTTTGGTGGTCGTGACTTCAGGAGAGACTCCACCTTTAGCAGGGGTGGCGGTGGAGATTACGGATATGGAGGAGGGTCCTATGGGGCATCCTCAGGATACGGTGGCAGTTCAGTGGCGACAAGCGCCTGGGATTAGTGTCCCTATAGTTCTCCAACCAGCTTAGCTTTAGACCTCCTTTCTTTCTAGGAAGATATTTTTGATAGGCTTCCACACGATATAGGATTCATGTAGTTGGTAATTTGCTCCCGGCTATGTTTTCTGCTCATTCACTATTCTCCCCTCTAATTGGTTCCCCCACTGCAGGGCTTATCCTCGGTTTCTTAATTGTTGTTTGTTTCTCTTTCTGTTTTGGGCTGTGTTTGTCAGGTGGTAAGCGAGAGAGAGAGAGGAGGGGGGGGTTTTAGTTTTAGTTTAA